CTGTAAGCCTACTTAGGAGCCTGAGGCAACAGGGTCATTTGAGCCCAGGAATGTGAGGTCGTGGTAAGCTATTTTGATGTTACTGTAGTCTAGCCTATGCAGCAGAATGAGACTCAATGTCCAAAGGTGGGGGGGATGTATATTGGAGGTTAGCATCTTTCAGGAATGATCTCAAGGTTTATTGTTAAGTAAAAAAAAAAAAAAAGAACTGTGTATAGTATGCTATGTGGCCGGTGCCCTCACCACTAAGCTACAGGCGTGGAGCCTAATTTGTGTCTTTTTAAAAAGGCAGGGAGACCATAATAGGCACTGAATCTCTGGAAAGATACTCTGAAACCCTGTTATCCCTCCATCCAAGGACAGAGTGAGAGCTGGAGGGTTGAAAAGAGACCTCCTTTTCTCTATATGTTTAGTTCACTATATACTCCTCTGTTGTACACTTTGAAATTTCTATTTGTTTTTTTGAGACAGAGTCTCCCTATGTTGCCCTCGGTAGAGTGTTGTGGCATCACAGCTCACTGCAACCTCAAACTTGTGGGCTTAAGTGATTCTCTTGCCTCAGCCTCCCAAGTAGCTGGGACTACACGTGCCCACCCCAATGCCTGGCTATTTTTTGTTGCAGTTGTCATTGTTGTTTAGCTGGCCTGAGTCAGTTTTGAATCTACCATCCTAGGTGTATGTAGCTGGCTCTGTAACCCCTGTGTGATGGGTGTGGAGCCCATTTTGAAATTTTTCACATATGCATTTATTAATTTAAAAATATATAATATTCATAATTGCTAAGTCATGGAAGAAGCCCAAGTGCCATTGACCCACAAATGGATTAATAAATTGTGGTATATGTACAACATGGAATATTATGCAGCCTTTAAAAAGATGTAGACTTTACCTCTTTTAGGTTTACATGGATGGAGCTGAAACATATTCTTCTCAGTAAAGTATCTCAAGAACGGAAGAAAAATTATACAATGTACTCAGCTCTACTATAAACCAATATATAAGCAAACATACTTCCATATGAAAGCTATAACCCAACTACAGCCCAAGATGAAGGGGAAAGATGAGGGGAAGGGATAGGGAGGAGAGAGGATGGGTAGAGGCAGAGTAATTGGTGGGACCACACCTATGGTGCGTTTTACAAGGGTACATGTCAAATCTACTAAGTGTAGAGTACGCGTAAACACAGTAATTAAGAAAGTGCGGTGAAAGCTATGTTAACCAGTTTGATGAAAGTATTTCAAATTGTATATAAAACCAGTGCATTGTACTTCAGAAATGCATTAATGTACATAGCTAAGATTTAGTTTTAAAAAAATACATATATATATAAAATAGTTTGCAAGCTGTAAATATCATTTGCTGTAGCCTGTAAGGCCTTGGACTGCCTCTGGTGGGTAGGAGGGAATGAAATAAAGTGGGAATGATCAAAAAATACATAATAAAAACAAATGCAAAAAATAAAATGTACATGTTCCAAGGTGATAGCCAGACAGTGAGGGCCGAGATGTTAAGAGCTGGAACAGGCATGACTCAGAAAGACTTCCTAGGAAAAGGGCTTGCAAGTGGAGCATATATACGGAGGAGTAGAAGAACCACTGGATAACTAAAGATGTCTGGAAGACATCAGCTAATTCAACCAATGTTTGTAGCACTAATATTCTGAGCTGAGTACTCTGAGCTGAGAATGGAATTGGGTTAGGGCCAAATTGTGGAGACTTCTCAAGCCAAATTAAGGAATCTTCTAAATAGATGGCAACTGTGACAAATAATTATTATTAGTGTATAAATAGAGTAGTGAGAAGATCCAAGTGGTAATTTTAGAAACTCATCTGACAGTGACTTGAATAGGAGAGAGCACAGAGAGTGGTGGCCAGTTAGAAAACTGCAGGTATGGCTCTGTGCCGATACCTCAGTGGTTAGGGCACCAAGCCTGCTAAACAAACAAACAAACAAAAAAACTGGGCATTGTGGGAGTAGCCTGTAGTCCCAGCTACTAGGGAGGCTGAGTCGAGAGAATCGCTTGAGTCCAAGAGTTTGAGGTTGCTGTGAGTTGTGATGTCATGGCACTTTACAAGGGCAACATAGTGAGACTTTGTCTCCAAAAAATAAATAGATAAATAAAAGGAAAGGAAAGGGAGAGGGAGAGAGCTGCAGTTGTTTGTTCAGAAGGTGGTATTAGGGTTTTTAGTTAGTGTTTCACCTGGCATGTGCTAGAAAAATCTCAGTTCAAATCTGTAGAGAGTTACTGAGCCTTCACTATGTCAGGTACTAGAGGCAAGAACAGGTATAAAAAGACAAAGAGAAGGAAGCATCAGTTACTGTACTTCATTGATTCCAAGACACATTTACAAAGACTATTCAACACCTGTGAAGTGAGGATTTGATAAAATGCAACATTTTTAACAGCTCCCTACTCCTGTATCCCATCAGTTACAAGAGAAGGAATCAGCTCAAAGCTTTGTCTGGATGAATGAGGGAGGGTGGCTCCTTAATAGAAGTGGTAAACTTGAGAGAGAGAGATGTGGTTTGGGAGATGAGGTTCAATTCTATATAGACTGAGAATTGGGTGTTGAGAGTTCAAAACAAGGACCTGGTACCTGGGGAGAAGGTCAAACTGGGAACTCTGCCTTTGGAAGTCTTCCATAGTGAAGTTTGGTTGAAACCTTTGAAGGAACAAGCTGAGAGAAGAGGGCCAGGGCTGAACCAGGAGGGTTCTTACCCACTCTGGGGGCGGAAGGGTGAGGCAGAGCCAGTGAAGAGCTTATTCATGAAAGCTGAGAGGATTTTAGGTCCTCAGAATTTAGAAGTTATTTAATCATCATGGGTTCTTTTTCCGGAGAGAAAATAAAAAATGTTGACTCAGGCAGGGAAGAATTGGTTGGCAGTTTCCCAAGTGGAGACTTTCACAAAACTTGTCAAAACAGAGAGAATGTTGGCTGAGGAAGTGGTTCTTATATAAAGTGTTGTGACTATTTTACAAGAGAAAGAGCAATCCCTGTGTGATCCAGGTTGCATTTTTCTATGTAGGTGCCAGCCTGGGAATAACCAGTGATGGATTTTTTCAGCTGGAAGAACTGCCTAGGTAAGCTGACCTGACGTGACCTCCATGATTCACGCTGCCTCTGACTCTCCTGCTAACATTTCTTCTTCCTCTCTCTCCCAACCACTTAAAATGTATGTCTTTCCTGAGTTCTATTATCCTATGTCTTCTTTTTTATGACCTTGGGGTTCTCATCCACTAGGAACCCTCAGTAGACCAATCACATTTTTCAATTGACCATAGTTTTAGAACCAGATCTGCAGAGTTACTGAGCCTGGGTAACTGGGTACCTGGTAACTGGATACAGAGTAATCTGAAGATTAAATAGCCAAGTCTTAAAACTATCTTCTTTTTTCAACCTTTTATTTATTTAGTTTAGAGACAGAGTTTTACTTTGTTGCCCTTGGTAGAATCACAGCTCATAGCAACCTCCAGCTCTTGGGCCTAGGTGATTCTCTTGCCTCAGCCTCCCAAGTAGCTGGGACTTATAGGCGCCTGCCACAACGCCTGGCTATTTTTTTGTTGCAGTTTGGCTGCGGCAGGTTCAAATCCACCAACACCCTGCTCACTGAGCCACAGGCACTACCCTTTTCTCAATCCAGCATTAATTGATAGTGTTTAAAGTAGCTAATTCTGATTTTTCAAAACCTCTAAGTGTAGAAGGGTCTCCACAAATGAAGGTTCTATCAGTCTCACAAAAATACATTTTTTTTCCTTTTTGTTTTTTAGAGACAGAGTCTTACTTTTGTCACCAGGCTGGAGTGCAGTGGCATGATCATAGTTCACTTCAGCCTTGAGCTCCAGGCTCTAAGTGATCCTCCTGCCACAGCCTCCTGAGTAGCTGGGACTACAGGCACCCACCACAACACTGAGCAAGGAAAAACACATGGATATAAAGGAACTCTCTATATTATCTTTCCAGTTTCTCTACAAATCTAAAATTCCTCCCAAAAAAAGTTTTATGCTTTTTTTGAGACAGAGTTGCTCTTGGTAGAATGCTGTGGCATCACAGCTCATAGCAACCTCAAACTCTTGGGGTTAAGCAATTCTTTTGCCTCAGCCTCCCAAGTAGCTGGGACTAAGACGCCCACCACAATGGTGGGCTATTGTTTTTGTTGTTGTAGCTGTCATTAATGTTTAGCAGGCCCTGGGCGTGGTTCAAACCCACCAGCCCCTGTGCACGTGACCTGCGCCCTAAGCACTGAGCTACAGGCATCAAGCCCAAAATAAGTTTCTTTTTTCTTTTTTTTTTTTTTTTTT